TGCGGAGTTACCGTTAACCAAAGTTGACCAATTTTTGCTCAAAATTTTTCTATGCCATAATTTTTTTGAGCAGTGTATATATATATATATATATATATGTTTTATTTTATTAACCTGTTATTTGCGGAGGTTTTGAAAGGGTGCTCTCAAACTCATCAGATTCTTCACTAGAAGATTGTATAAGTGCAACTTTTTTGTTCACTATTTTGCCTTCTGAGGAAACAGTTTTAAATATAAATTAGTATATAGATTGTCTCATAAATCTCGGGACAAGACTCATGCGTAGGTAGGTACAGTGGACTGGACTGAGTCCAGGAGTTCTCTATCATCTTTTGCAATTTTTTAAATAAATAATGTTATTGAATACTAAAGATCGCTAAAGCTCAGCCGACAACCAATGCAATTTCGCGGCAGGATACAATGGGATACGATAAGATGGGATATGATGCCCGGTAATCGTTGTTGCTGGACAAGCGGGAAGATGTTTGGAAGTATCTTGTAAATAGTTCTCCGTGTGTCTAGCAACGTCTACCGAGCCGTTGTATCTCGTTGCACGTTTGTATTTAGCAATACATCGAACTAATTCGGCAATTTCCTTACTAATTAATAATTCTTTGATTATAGCGAAAATTGCAAAATGATAGAGGACTTTTCGGTTCAGTTTGGTTTGCTCTACCTGTACATACAGAAGCATTACGGGACTCTCTATATATTGTTTAAAATATATTATAATTTAATTTAATATAATAAATATATAAATATACTTTAATATTTACAATAACTTTAAATACTTTTGGGTTATGTTTAGAATAATTTTTGTTCATTAAATAAACCTTTTATTTCTTTTTGTTTTGTCCGGACACTGCTTTCCTTATCGCTATCATCGGTATCATCACTACTCTCATATAATCGATTTTTTAATCTTTTTCTTTTTGCATTCTTTTCAACCTCTGAATTTAAATCGGATGTACATTCTGCCTTTTTTGTTTTCAATCTTGCCATGTTGTAATCATCTAAAATTATACAAATAAATGCATACATATATAGCAATAATACATACTATATTTCTTTATTCCTAAAAAAATTATATTAATTTAAACCTTTTTTTTTTTTTAAATAAAATATACTACTAACCATATGTGCTATTACGAAACGTAATAACGTCATAAGATGGCCAACATGTATTTCGTTCTACATTTTTTCGAATTGCTGCGATAATTTGTTCGTATTTAAATGAAGGCCAGTAACATTTGTTATGTTCTATCCAACCTGACGGTACCGCTTCTACAGTATTATCTACCATAAACTGAATTACTGTCCACGTCGGTTTTTGCATTTCTGGAAAAACAAAAATCACAAGCGCAAATTTCTTTCCGAAACTGTGAACAGTTCTATACTTAAAGATAATAATATTTTCAAAGCCGGATCAGCATCTAATTTTATATTATTATTTTAATCATTTTATCATTTGTATGCAGATGTATATATGTACATATGTGTGTGCGTGTGCGTGCGTGTTCGTGTGCGTGCGTGCGTGCGTGCGTGTGTGTGTGTGTGTGTGTGTGTGTGTGTGTGTGTGTGTGTGTGTGTGTGTGTGTGTGTGTGTGTGTTCACGCGCGCGTATTAGCTCATGTTACAGATAATATTACGGATTATTTTTTATATTTAATCATTTATTTTTTAACTTACATGTTCTATAAGTGGCTAAGCCACGATAGAATCTATGATAAAAGAATTTATATTAAAAGTTAGTGCTAATTATTTAAGCAATAAAAAAATGATTTATAATTTTGAAAAACTATTGTTTAATAAAAGTTTAACATTTTATACAATTTTATTGTTAAAATTTACTCTTGGCATAAAATGTATTCGTCAATTAAATTATTATTTTAAAAACTATGATTTTATAAATATATGCACAGTTATAAAATAAATACAGTTAAGTACAAGTAGAGTTGAAGAAAAACTAAAAACTGTTTAAACTAAAAACAGATACATCTTTAAACTATATTTATAATGCATATAAAGCATTAATATTTAAAAATGTTATTAATATGTAGCAATAAGAAAACAAAGTTAAATGTAACTGTTGATATTACGTGTAAATATATGTACATAGAGATTATAAATACAAAAACGTAATATTATTTAAGTATCTTATATGCGACAAATAATATTAGAGCAAATGGACTGGAAAATTCGATCACAGTACTACGTCTCTTTTTTTTAACACAAAGAATAAAAGAAGATTTAAGTAGATAATCTTGCAATTTTGATTAAAATAATAAAAATATACATTAAATAAACATAGATTATATTAAAAACGATTACACCAAAAAATAATAAATATTGTAGAAAAAATTATGAATACATCTATTATAAACATATAGCATCTGTTTTAATATAACTGTGTAGCAATATAATATTAGAAATACATATATTAAAATAATAAATTATTTAGAATAAATGAAAAATTATATTGGTAATAAAGAAATAAAAATATTACTACTCGCTTCCTTAACTATAATTTTGTTTTCGTAATAATTTAGTGAAAATTAATGTGTTTTGATTTTTATGATTGTGCATGTACTAAAGGAAAAATAACATATCTATTTTTGTATTTTAGTCTAACACATTTATTTGCAATTTGGTCCAAATTCCAAATTTGTAAATTGCCGAGATTGCAAACTTCATAAATATCGAATTTTGAAGATTGGCAAGGTTTGGTATAAAAATCTTTAAGTGTCTTGTATTTATTTCCAATTACAATAGTATTTTCGTTATTAGTAGCAAAATTCTGGATAACTATAATACTTCCATCCAACAAACAACAACAATTGTCAGGTTCTTTAATTGTTAATACAAATTTTTTAAACACGATTTTATTAAATTGATTGTAGTTGTGACAATTTACAAGCGGACCATTAAAATGCGGATTTAAAAGTTGAGGTTTATTACATTGTACCATCTGTGCCGATGTTATGTTTACATTAGGATTTATATAATTATTTTGTTCGCTTATCCGGCAAACGATCTGCTCCAATGGCTTATCATGTTTGCGAATCATTTTTAATATCGATTGCATGTAATTCTCAAATGGGAAAGCGCTGAATTCTTGCAGTGGTCCGAATTTCTTCACATCATCACAAAGATGTAATAAATGATGTGTATTATGCGATACATTTTCTTTGCCATATAAACTAATAAATGTTTCAACATAGTATTGCAATAATAATTTTGCATAATCTAAATATAATTCAATATGTTTTGAACTGGACAAAATAGTAACAGCTGCGTGTAAAGTTATAAAATTTAAATATTTATCATGACTTAGTACAGATTTCAATACAACCGGCCCCGTATATAATAAAAATGTCCTATATTCAGTCGCTTTCCACCTTTTACTTTCTAATAATGATCTTGATTTTCTATTAAAATCACATGGTATATTATATCTTTGCTCTTCTAATAACGTCGATATTACTGATAATTGTTGAGATGATAATTTAGCACGAGGTTTTCCATGATACCATAAAGAGACAACAATTTTTTTAACTTCTCCCAAAAAAAGTAAGTGCATTGGATCTGATGGAAAATCATATATCATATCTATATTTGGAATTTGTTCTAATATTGATGTACCCGTGTGATGATCTGGCTGTGATTTTAATCTGAATTTTGTGTCTGTTCTTACATTCAAAATTTCTAAGTACGGAAAGCATACTTTATTAAAATGATATTCGCCTTTAGCTTCACATTTTGTACACGAATAATAGCCTGAATGACCTTTTGTATATTTTATAAAAGATAGAGCTGGTACATCACAAATAAAAGCTTTAATTTTAAACGGATAAACTATTCCATTAATTGTTACACCTTGAGTAATCAAGTCTTGAGCTTCTTTTATAAAAGATTGTAAAAATTTATTAGCATTTGCAGGCTTTTTATACCCATGATAAATTCCAATAATGCCAACGTTGTTGTAATTGTTAACCAAACTGCATAAAATAGGATAAACTTGACTTCCTGAACTTTTAGACAAAGGCAAGCCATCGATATTTATAATAATTTCAATTGTCTGCAAATTTTGAAAAGGATATTGTAAAACAAGTTTCTCCACGCAATGACTTATTCCAAAATGATAATAGTATCCTGGTTCAACTTTATCTAGATGTACTTTTTTCATAGTGCCTAACAAAGTACGAGCATCTCGAGGAAGTTCGGGATATTTAGATTTAATACATGCCATCAATTCATTTAATGCGACATGAGTTATCCGATTTCTAATAGCCCATCCTTGCAAATTTGATGTAATACTTATGTCATCATTCTCACAACGTTCAAGATTATTTAAAAAATTGGGATTAAGTGCATCGTCATCATTATTGTAACTATTCATATCATTTACATTATTATTTTCGTCATCAAAAACTTCTTCATCATTATTTATTAATTCATAATTATCACTATGGACATGTGTTAACTCTTCATCTAATTTCTTATTTAAATGATTCGTGTTTACGAATTTATCTCTTTCATTGTATAATATATCATTATTAGTATTCGAAACTAAAGATGTGTTAGTAATTGACGAAGATAAATCAGGAATAGATTCTATGAGATTAATAGATGCATCAGCTATACTTTTAGAATATACATAATATTTTCGCTTTATTTTAGGCATTTTTAAAGTATCTCTTTACTTATAACATATACTCACTTAATTACGGCGAACGTTGATTCTTCATAAGCCTCTGTTTATCGAGTTGAATAAAACTCATCCAAAAATTTTCTTAAGATCTACGTATTCGAGATCTACGTATTCGAAAAGCTGTAATTTCAAGAGATTCGGAATTAACTTATTTCAAATAAATTTAAATTAAAAAAATTGAATCAAAAAAATTAGGCTTGCAAAAATAAATCTGTAAAGAATATATTTATTGCAAAAAATAATACCTCCAGCCAATATTCAATTCTGGATCTCTCTACTTTCCGTGTGGGCGTCCTACTAATTCGGATTACCGAGACATAATTTGTTTTACATCAAGTGTATAGAATGCTGAAGTGTTCGTTTTGGCAGATATTACCAGCAAACAATTAATGTCTGAAAACCGACGAGCGAATAATTAAGATATTATAATAGCCGCGACAACAACAGTGGTTTAGATCAAAGATCTAACCTATTATCCATAGTATCTACTCTTTCTTTTTCATTCTTAAACAAAACCATTATCCACATATGTACAATTTTAATAAAGTTTACTCACCTTAAACTTAAGTTCTATCACAATAAATGCGCATAGGAAATTCCTTATAGGTATTCAATATAAGATGCAGAAAGCATTTCCATATAACCACAAAGTGATTGCCGGATAAGGACGGTGGGCACAGAAACGGCGGATAAAACCAAAACAAAGGCGTAAACATTAGAGCTGCGCGCTAATAGCGCGCTCTTCAATTAAACTCCGACTGCACATATATACCATACAGCGCCATTTCATCGCGCGAGAAGCGCGATAATCAATAATAAGCATACAGCTTTAACAATGTTTTTATAATTACATAAAATTTTTTTAAAACAACCATACACTTCTTAAAAATATATAATAATTAAAGTATGCAAGAAACTTATTAAGTGCAAGTATGCACTAATAATAATTTTTATGTACTTGTATTAAAAACTACGACAAACACAAATGATTCATATTGTGTAATAACAAATTCGGAAAAACCTCGTGTGTACTGAATGCATGCATGTTAAGTAATGTTTTAAGATGCTAATATTGCTTTGTGATTAGTTTCACATCTTAAGATAATTAAAACACTTTAAGACAGTTTTAAATATAAGAACCAACAATTATATGAATATAGGTCCAAGACCGGATTTCCTATGGACGTCCAAATATGAGTTACTGATGGATGTCCAAAATCGGACATACAATGGATGTCCAGTTTATGTCCATGGACGTGCGGACGTAAAATGGAACTAAAATGGATGTCCTTAAGACGTCCCGTGCTATCTGAGCTTATAATTCGCTAACTATTCTTGTTATAATTTGAAAACTAAGCTTTGGATAAAATTTTGGTAAAGAAAAAATCTTCTCAGAATTGAGTCAGGAATATGACATTTTAAGGACAAAAGTTTATTTTGGGACACCCTGTATACAAACTAGGCTATCCAGTATTTGCCTAATTGGTCTAGACAGTGGTTAGACACAATGGACAGGCTCGCTGCTAGGGGCTACATCGTTCCGCGGGCCAGGGCCTAGATCAAGCGACGCTAGAGTCCCTAGAAGGAAGAGTCTGGCCATTTTACCGTGACTGTTTTTATTGGTCAATCCCAAAGTTCCCTCAAAATGGCGTCACCAATCACGTGTCACGGGCCGATTACCGGATACGGATGCGACAATTATTAAGAAATACGGCGTGACCTAAATTAAATCGGGAACGCCGACGAAGCGTTCCGAAAAATATATTATGTAAAAATAAAAATAACTAATAAGGATGGTTGCGCGACGGCGACCTCGTGGTAACCGAAAAGTAGTACGCTGACACAGCAACGCGATCGCTATAAGTACGCGCGACGACAAGGCGCGCGAGGTTAATCTGTCGAAAGATAAGTTCGTGTCGCGTTACCAGGTCCGCCACGAATAGTTAAGTGCCGTAACGGCGCGTATCGAGTAAGAAGAAGCGGGAGATTGTGAAATAAACTAAGACCGGAGATAAAGGCAAATAAAGTGTATTTTGTGAAAAAGTGATCAAAGGCGTCTGAGTTATTCAGTTCCCCCGCGTCGCCGGACCCCGTTGTGCTAAAGGCACAACACACGTATACAGAAATTATATATACAGAATATGATTCATTTAAAGCTATAAATGTTTCAATGCATTTGCATAATGAACTAAAAATTAATGTAAAAATAATTGTACAGAAGAATGAATTAATAATAAAATTTTATTGAAATACAGAGTGCATGGCCATAGTTTTGTTACTATATTCTTTCTTTTTTAATTTATTTTTTTTGTAAGAGATGCGCATTCGATAAATAATGAAACGTTTCATAATTATGTGTGGTAATTTGTGACACGATTTTATAGATGGACATGTTATAGTTTTCATTTTGTCCGTGTAGAATGTTACAAAATTGCACATATTATGTAGTTTTACATAAGACAAATACTGACGTATAATCATTTCCATATTACACAAATACGTAAACGTTTCATTATTTACATAAAACAGTGTATTTTGGCGAAAACTCCATAACTGAACCAGTTAAGCATATTGCTGTTGTGGATCAAAACATTTTGATCCAGTAGAATTTATGCAATCTGAGCATATCTTGGAACATTTAGTTATACTTGTTATAATATAGCCTGCTATATTATATAAAAGATTAAGTTCAATGTTATCTAACTGAATATTATTATTTAGTTGAGGTTCAGTTTCAGATACAGGAAGGACTACATTCTTTTTTACTTCTTTTTTATTAAATATTTCTAAAAAATTACCAATCATAGTACCATCATCTTCGTCATAATTGGACGTATGTGGTACATGAAGGTACTTTGATATTGTGAGAAGTTTTAAACTTTGTTTGAACTGTAAAGCATTTGGAATTGGGTGTTTTGATCTTATTGAAGAGAAAATATTTTCGAGACAGTCTTGCGTAAAGCGAGATGTCAAAATATAAGAATATTTTCGTTTATTTATAAGATATTTGGACAATTCTATAATAGAGGTTGTGGTAATCATAATGCCAGTTTGAACAGGTTTAAATGTAGGTTTAGAGCCAATTTTTATTTCTCTAAATAGTTCCACAACTGACTCCAGAAACGCAATACTATCCTCGAATTTTTTTTCCGTCATTTCATTACCTATTTTTTTGCCAACTTTTCGTGTCCGAGCAGTTGCTAAAGTAAGCCACTTGGAACAAACTTCTATAAACGCTGCTGTAGTATTAAATTCTTGTCTATCTTTTACTTCAGCAAAAAAATGCATAGCACTACTAACATCTCGACTCAATATATTCTTTGCTTTATTTACTTTCATTTTGTTAAATGTACTGCAAGTTACGTCCTTTTTTTAAATCTTAGATAATAATTTGTAACGTTTCGCGTTACTACGCCAGTTAAATCCGGCGCCCTGAGGTCCGGCGCCACTGCCATGCGCTGCTTGGGTGGTGGGGGCCGCCCACGCAGATACCGCGTGGTGGGGGACGCTCGCCGGTATATAAAAGCCGACCGGCGCAAGCCAGGTTATCCAGTCCTGTCTCGACTCCTGTCCCGACAGTCCCGTCCGACTCCTTCCCGTCACTCTTTGTCGAGAGTACTCGACATCGGCCTCGGCCTATCTGGGGGATCCGGAGCGTACTCCATCTCCATCGGGGCTACCCGGTTCAAGTCCGGTACCAAGGGAACCTCGGTTCCGGGTATACGGACAGCCGTTGGAGAAGGTGTCCCTTCTCCTAGGCAACTCCGCCGCGAGGAGTCATACATATCGAGATGTTTGTTATTCTATCTTCTAACTATGTTTTTCCTGTTCCAGACTAAGCGATATCCCGTTTCCTGAGCTTCCCGACACCGTGGGACCCTTCCCGACCACGATCCCCTCCCCTTGTACCAACCGCCGTTCCCCAGTCCGACCACCGACTGGTTCCGCCGCGTATAGGTTAAGTTCCGCCGTTAGGTTAAGTTGTTCTAGTTTCGTTCTTAGACATTAAGTTACCGCGAGTAAGAATCGTTCCGGGGGATTCGTGACTCCCCACAGGTGTTTTCCTTCTTTTCTCTAAATAAATATTGTTGCCTTCTAATCCAGTGTCTCCTTCCTTTCTCGAGCCCTGTCCCGGCGAGCGAATCCGAGCGAGAAAGGTCGAACGTTACAAATTTAAATTGTAGATTTTCTTGAATGTCGATTAAATCGCATAAATGTTAGCAAACACTTAGCAATTGTACGGGAGTCGATCGCGGGCAGGCGGGATAGGGGGAAGGAACGCAATTCAGGACGGGTGCGAGCATGTGCCGCTCGCGTGATCGGGCCGGCTCCGCGGCCACGGCGGTACGCCTGCCCTCGATCGACGCTTAGGATCTGCGCGACCAAGGGCGTTTCGCCCGTTGCAATAAGCGGCTGATTGTGGAAAAACAATCAGCCGCGTTAAAAATTCCTCTAAAATCCTTCTCGAAGACTCAACAAAAAAACAAACAACTCGCGTAAACAGGAAGCGCTTTCGGTCACCTCAAAATTCGAGCCTTCGAGAAGCCTCTCTCGGCCCACGGTTGGAGAGCGGGAAGCTCCCGCTTTCACTTGTGCCGCTACGTCGTCTCGCGTACGGTCGCTCGACTTGTCTTCCTCTAGGGCCTCGTCGCGAAAAGGATCGTCGTTCCGCCGTCGCGGAGTTCGAAAGGCACTGCCCGTGTCTTACGTCTAAGAGAGGGTTAAATGCGCCAAATTAATCTTATGTTACTCCGTTTGTGATTCTTTTATTTGTGAAATAAACTCGTTGTTGGAAACTCTCTTGATAATTTTCGCTCCCAGACCAAATTCCGCTTTACGCTACCGCGCTAAGTCCGCTCGCGAACGGCAATAGAATAGGATAAATTGCGTCTGAACGAATTTCTGTGGCAATTTAATAATTTTATTATTTAATAATGCAGCTTTAAGATTTTTTAGTAGATACGGAGCATCAGCAATAAAAAATAATTTTCAATCTTTATCATTAGGATGAGGAATACTATTTTCAATTTTTGAATATCTACTACAAATAATTCCAAATGCTCTCCACATGCTACAGTTTACGGGTCCCATGTCGGAAATCACACTATGTACTGTGACGTGACGTTTGTTGACAACGTCCGTCACAAGGGCTCATTAGCTCGACCGCAAAGGCTAAGTAGATCCTGCGTCCTCCGATTTTCGAGGGCGAGCGCATTTACGATTTTGCCACGTTCCGCGACTTAAAATTTTATAATAGAATTAAGCAGTTAGGTTATGCGCCGACCGAAAGAAGCGAGGGATGGCGACTGTTCGGAAGAGACTGTATTAAAGCGTCGTTTCACCGGCTCCAAGCAATGAGGACTCCAAGGACGAGAGGCTACCGAGACATACACTCAGCGCGAGACGGGAGCACGTAATTACTCTTTCTTTTTCTTCCTTCACGGAGCCCTTTTACTGCTGTTCCCTTTTACAGAGTTTTCGGAGCGAGCCGACGGTCCTGCCAGGAGCCCCCGGTAACACAAGGGCGCAGGAGAGCTGACACCATGGCTCGCTCCACATTTCGAGGGCCAGGAGCCCTCCCGGCGAGTCAACTTTGAAACTTCGCGCCCGTTATCACGGGGCCCGCGACTAACGCTACCCTCCTGCGGCGTAGGGGGTCGCGAAAGAGGGACTCACGTGACAGGAAGAGATAGCGGAAACC